AGACAGATCTTCAGGTGTTTCTAACTCAACCTATTAAATAAACTGAACTGATTGGCAAAAAATAGTGAACCTTGGTCCCTAACGTACACCACATATACAAATTAATTTTTGATGGATCACGAATCTAAATGTGAAAGGTAAACAGTAATGTTTCTAGAAGAAAATGTAGGAGAATCTTTTCATGACTTTGAGATCAGCAAAAAAATTTTTAACAGGACACAGAAAGTGCTAACCATCAAAGAAAATGTTGATAAATTGGACTTACTAAAATAAAGAACCTCTGATCATCAGGAAACTCCATAAAAGGATGATACTCAGCAATAAAAAGAAATGAACCATCGGGACTTCCCTGGCAGTCCAGTGGCTGAGACTTCACCTTCCAATGCAGGGGATGCGGGTTCGATCCCTGTGGGGAGCTAGGATCCCACGTGGCCTTGTGACCAAAACATGGAACAGAAGCAATATTGTAACAAATTCAATAAAGACTTTAAAAAATAGTCCACATCAAAAAAAAATTAAAGAAATAAAGAAATGAACTATCGACATAGAATATAACGTGGGTGAAAAAAAATATAACATGGGTGAATCTCAAAATAATTGTGTTGAGTGAGAGAAGCCAAAGAGTACATACTGTATGATTTAATTTATATAAAACTCTGGAAAATGCAGATAGGGATCTTTAGTGATAGAAAGCATATCAGAGGTTGTTTAGGTATGGGGGTTTATGGGGGTGCGGCTGGAGGGAGGGAGTACGAAGGAACATGAGGAAACTTTTGGGGAGTAATTGTTATGTTCACTATTTTGTGGTGATGATTTTACAGTTATAAACCTGTCAAAACTTATACTTCTCATATTGTCAGTTATACCTCAATAAATCTGTATTTAATGTGGACATAAAAACCACCCAGATGAGAACAGGTGAAGGCCATTTATTCAGAGCTTTCGGTAGCAGAGGAGTCAGCTCCAGCGCTTGCCTTTGGCAGAGATGCAAAGGCAGGTAGACCACTGGGGAAGCTTTATAATGGAAAAAAGGCAAGGAAGCCTTCAGGAATGTCCTAATCTGGGGCTGTTGGCACAAGGAAGCTGTAGGCAGCCTGACTACAAGTGGGGGTATTCTATATGATTGGTTGGGGTACATATTTGGCTTTCTCTGGTTGGTCCTAAGTTGGAAGCAGGGATAAAAATTAGGGAAGCTGTCAGTTAATCAAGTCCTGGCTGTTTGGGGCCAGTTTTTACAGGGGTTATCATTTGACTTCCTGGACTGGTTGCTAGAGATAGTCTGACTTCCTTGACTGGTAAGTATAGATAGTAGGTTGGCTTCCTGGGCTGGATTTTTGCAGATTGTGGGTCAGAGCTCTATCTTTATATATATAGTCTGGCCATTGTCCATTAGTATGTTGTGACTCTCATGATAAGAAACAAATTCCACAAGAAAGGCAAGCCACAAACTGGGAGGAGGTATTTGCAGTACATATCCAACAATGTACTGAATCCACTATATATTTTTTAGAACTCCCACAGTTAAGTAAGAAAAAGACAACCTAATTTTGTAAGTGGGTAAAAGGCTTGAACTAGCACTTTATGAAAGAGAATATCCAAATGTCTAATAAACATATGAAAAGGTATCATTGGAGGAAAGGCAGTCATCATTTCATCTCTAATTTAATCATCAGTCATTCAATGCAGATTAAATGAAATACCACACTCCTACCAAGATGGCTAAGGAATGAGCAATACGAAGTGGTAGTATAGATGTGGAACACTGGGAGCTCTAACGTACTGTTGGTGGTGATATAAATTGGTACAGATCCTAGAAAACTGTTTGGCAGTATCTATCAAAGCTAAACACAGGCATACCTTGGATATATTGTGGGTCAGTTCCAGATCCCTGTGATAAAGTGAATCACATGAATTTTTTTGTTTCCCTGTGCATATAGAAGTGTGTTTAAACTAAACTATAGACTATTAAGAGTGCAGTAGCATTATGTCTTAAAAAAACAATGTACGTACCTTAATTTAAAAATACTTTATTACTAAAAAATGCTAGCCATCATCTGAGCCTTCAGTGAGTTGTAATCTTTTTGATGGTGGAGGGTTTGAAATATTTTGAGAATTACCACAATATGACACTGTGACACGAAGTGAGCAAATGTCATGGGAAAAATGGCACTGATAGACTTACTCAACACAGGGTTGACCCAAACCTTCAATTTTTTTATTTAATAAATTTATTTATTTTATTTATTTATTTTTGGCAGCATTGGGTCTTCGTTGCTGTGCACGGGCTTTCTCTAGTTGCGGCGAGTGGGGGTTATTCTCTTCTTTGCAGTGCGTGGGCTTCTCATTGCGGTGGCTTCTCTTGTTGCGGAGCATGGGCTCTAGGCATGTGGACTTCAGTAGTTGTAGCACGTGGGCTCAGTAGTTATATGCCTCGCAGGCTCTAGAGGGCAGGCTCAGTAGTTGTGGCGCATGGGCTTAATTGCTCCACAGCACGTGGGATCATCCTGGACCGGGGCTGGAACCCGTGTCCCCTGCATTGGCAGGCGGATTCTTAACCACTGTGCCACCAGGGAAGCCCCTTCAATTTGTTTTTTAAAAAGAGGAGGGGGCAATATCTGTGAAGCAAGGTGCAATAAAACAAGGTATGCCTACATATGCATACTCTATGACCCAACAACAACGCTCCTGGCTCTACATCTAATAGCAGTGAGTATTGATATTCACGAAAACTCTCATGTAAGAATATAATAACCGACTTCTCTGGTGGCGCAGTGGTTAAGAATCCACTTGCCAATGCAGGGGACACGGGTTCAAGCCCTGGTCCAGGAAGATCCCACATGCCGTGGAGCAACTAAGCCCGTGCACCACAACTACTGAGTCTGCGCTCTAGAGCCCGTGAGCCTCAACTACTGAACCCCTCATGCCCTAGAGCCCGTACTCCGCAACAAGAGAAGCCAACGCAGTGAGAAGCACACGCACCACAAGGAAGAGTAGCCCCTGCTCGCCGCAACTAGAGAAAGCCCGTGCGCAGCATCGTAGACCCAACGCAGCCAAAAAAAAAAAAAAAAAAAGAATAGTTAAAAGCAGGAAACAATCCAAATGTTTATCAACAGTTTAATTTATAAATTGTGGCATATTCATAAAATAGAGTGCTACATAACAATGAAAAAGAATAAACTGCTACATGCAGCATTGTAAATGAGTCTTACAGACATAATGTTGAATAAAGGAAGGTACACAACAGAAGAGTTAATACTATTGATTCCATTTATAAGAAATTCAAAACAAGCAAAACTAGGGGCTTCCCTGGTGGCGTAGTGGTTGAGAATCTGCCTGCTAATGCAGGAGACACGGGTTCGAGCCCTCGTCTGGGAGGATCCCACATGCCGTGGAGCGACTAGGCCCGTGAGCCACAAGTACTGAGCCTGCACACCTGGAGCCTGTGCTCCGCAACAAGAGAGGCCACCACAGTGAGAGGCCCGCGCACCATAATGAAGAGTGGCCCCCGCTTGCCACAACTAGAGAAAGCCCTCGCACAGAAACGAAGACCCAACACAGCAAAAATAAATTAATTAATTAATAAACTCCTACCCCCAACATTTTCTTAAAAAAACAAACAAACAAGCAAAACTAATCTATGGTGATAGAGGTCAGAATCATGGTTACTTTTTGGTGGTTTTATTGACCAAGGGAACACAAAAGCACCTTCTGGATTATTGGAAATGTACTATAACTCGATCTGGGCTGTCATTGTATGAGTGTTTACATACAAAATGTTTATTGAGCTGTACACCTAAGATTTGTGCAGTTCACTACATGAAAGTTATACCTCAATAGAGAACAATGTGTTTTTTTTAACTTGTATTCATTATTTCCTATTTCAACTCTATCCATTTGTTTATACCTTTCCTTAAAACTAGCTGTCCCTCTGGCTTTCTTGTTTTTCTGAAAGCCCATTAAACATTTTGCACTCAGTCCTTAAATCCTGTTAGTTCTTCCTTTAAAATACCTCCCATCCATACTATTTCCAAATCATGTCTGTATCTGTATTAGAGTTTTAGCCTTGACCACAAGCCTGAATTGGTTTCCCTGCTTTCTATACTCAAAACTATTCTACAATATGCCAACAAAGCTATCATCTAAAGCACCATTTGGATTGTGTTGCTTCCTCTCCTCAAAAGCCTTGAGGGTGCTCCCATTTCTGGCATGTTAGATGCAGGTCAGTCTCTGGCACTGTATTTAAGACTCTCATGATCTGGCCCCAGCCAGCCATACACAACCGCTGGAAAATTGGCATACTTAATAGTTCCAAACCCATTTTGCTCTCTGTGGCTTATACGCCTTTGTTCATGCTCTTCTCTGCATAAATGCTTTCTTCCTCACACCAGGCCCTTCTCAAAACATTTTAACCTGGGGGTTTATGATGTACTTCGTGAAACTCATGAACTCCCTGAATATACCCAAAGTTTCTATATTTGTACATTTTTTTGGAGAAAGGGCTTGTCATGTCATTGGATTCTCAAAAGGGGTCCAAAACCCACCCCCACCCCTACCCCACTCCCACCCAAAGTTAAATTGATTTACTGGCCCTTTGAAGGAATGTTAACTCACTTTATGTTTTAATAAACTTTTTGTCTCATTAGCACTTAGTCTTCAATATGCTGGGTAATAAAACTTTTTTAATAGGTAAGTAATATAACTTTTTTAATATATAAGTTATATTTAAAAGCTCAAAGTTTCAGATTCAGGTAAAATGGCTTGTCTCATCTATTTTTAAAGTCTATAGATTTAGCTCTTTGTGTGGAATTTATTTTGCTCAAAAGATAGTATGTATTTTTCACTTTGGTGTCTTTAGTCAGGGGGGAAATTTTTTTTACCTCCTACGTGACTATTCATACAGCTAGTAGACAATACCATCTCTGTATGCTTTGTTGTAGCAATCCCTTTTAAAAGATATTAGTCACATTTTTCAACACTTTTTTTTTTTCTTCCTGTTTTAGATTCCTATAGGCAATGGAAACTGATCTCAATTCCCAGGACAGAAAGGACCTGGACAAGTTCATTAAGTTTTTTGCCCTCAAGGTACTATATCCATTCTCTTTAGCCTAGAACTGTTAGAAATAACTTCCGTGCTTCTCCCTTTTTGGAAATATAGCATAACAGCTTGCAGCTTGCCCATTTTAAGGGATACTTCTGTCTGTTGTAAACCAAACTGTGAAATTTGGGGGCGGTACTGGGGGTGTAACTAAAAAGTAGCTTCCAATTTTCCTCAGCTACTTGTTCAAAAAAATTTTTTTTTGCAAGCCTGTTTGCAGAAATGTCAAACTTATTATGCCAGGTTATTGGCACGGTATGTTCCCTTGGGGTGGGAACAAAGACTGCGGACTGGAATGGACAGCAGTTTGGGCATCTTTCTGTAAGCATCAACTACCTCTGAAATGTCTCACTTTCACTTATTGTTCCCTTCTGGGTAAATGAAGAATTAAAACTGAATTTTGAATGCTTTAGAAGGCATATTTTCCTAAATCTAAAAATCATTTCCACCTCTCTCACTCCTTCCTCTCAACCATTGCTGTGTAAGAATAATCCATGCAGTAGATTCTGGTTGTAAAATTAGTTGGAAGACTTTTGCCATATGGGCCAAGTCATATGAATAATTGTGGAATCCTTGGTTTAAATCAACTATGATTACATAAGTGTATGGCAGTGAATATTTAAACCTATGGTTGGACTTGTTTTTCTATGAAAGTCAGAGCCATCACGTGCAACTTTCCTTCTGCCATGTGAGAATATTATAGATTACAAGCCTCAAACTGTAATTTCTCTAATTGGTTGACACTGTGCCCTAAGGAATATTTACAGTATTATCTTTGTGCCGTGTTTTTTTCCTACCTGTTCTTGAAGGTTTTAAATCCTACCCTTTCCTGAAGTATAGTTAAGATCATTGGCATCTTTTTAATCCTGCATTGGGAGGGGTTTAACCCTGATTAGGAGCCAAATCAATTTGTTATAACTTTTCATCTTTGATTTTTTGTTTGTTTGCTGTTTTTAGACTGTCCAAGTGATTGTCCAGGCTCGACTGGGCGAGAAGATTTGTACTCGTTCATCTTCTTCCCCAACGGGTTCAGACTGGGTAAAATTCCAATTGTTTGTTAAGGGATATACTATGGTGTTTGTCACAAGGAATCACAGTGTAGTAATAAATAATGCTATTTCTAGTATTACTAAATCATAACATTAAAATACCTAATTCCATTTGATCCATTCACTTGGAAAGTATGTTCTTCATCAGTGTTAGTCTGATGTATTTGTTTTTTGGCTTTCTGCTGTGATAGGTGAAAAGCTTTTTCAACCTGAGTTTTGGGGCTTTGATGCAAGATATCTTATGGGGAAGGGAGAAGTAAATGAATGTCCTTAATCAGTCAAGAGCAATGCCTGCTTTACTCAGCATCCAATCTTACTACTTTATGTTTCCATAATGTTCCTTGTGAGTGTTTAACACAAAGTTCCTTCTTTTTTTCTAGTTCAATTTAGCAATCAAAGACATCCCAGAGGTTACGCATGAAGCAAAGAAGGCGCTGGCAGGGCAGCTGCCTGCTGTCGGGAGGTCTATGTGTGTGGAGATCTCACTCAAGACTTCTGAGGTAAGGTTATGGCTAGAAGGGTGTCTTTTTTTTTTTTTTTAACTTTTTATTTTATATTGGAGTATAGCTGATTAACAGTGTTGTGATAGTTTCAGGTGCACAGCAAAGGGACTCAGCCATACATATACATCTATCCATTCTCCCACAAACTCCCCTCCTATCCAGGCTGCCACATAACATTGAGCAGAGTTCCCTGTGCTATACAGTAGGTCCTTGTTTGTTGTCCATTTTAAATATAGCAGTGTGTACATGTCAATCCCAAACTCCCTAACTATCCCTTCCCCCCATCCTTCCCCCCACCGGTAACCGTAAGTTCGTTCTCTAAGTCTGTGAGTCTGTTTCTGTTTTGTAAATAAATTCATTTGTATATTTCTTTTTAGATTCTGCATATAAGGGATATCACAGGATATTTCTCTTTCTCTTTCTGACTTACTTCACTCAGTATGACAGTCTCTAGGTCCATCCATGTTACTGCAAATGGCATTATTTCATTCTTTTTAATTGCTGAGTAATATTCCATTGTATATATGTACCACATCTTCTTTATCCACTCCTCTGTCGTTGGACATTTAGGTTGCTTCCATGTCTTGGCTACTGTAAACAGTGCTGCAAAGAACATTCGGGTGCATGTATTCTTTTGGACCATGTTTTTCTCTGGATATATGCCCAGGAGTGGGATTGCAGGGTCATATGGTAGCTCTATTTTTAGTTTTTTAAGAACAATCCATACTGTTCTCCATAGTGGCTGTGCCAATTTACATTCCCACCAACAGTGTAGGAGGGTTCCCTTCCCTCCACCAGGATGGAAGCAACCTAACTAGGCACTCAAAGCTCTTCACACTCTGGTTCCAACTCAGCCTTTTTTTAAAAAAAATACTTATTTATTTGGTTGTGTCAGGTCTTAGTTGTGGCATGCGGGATCATTTTTTAGTTGTGGCATGTGGGATCTAGTTCCCTGACCAGGGATCGAACCTGGGCCCGCTGCATTGGGAGTGCAGAGTCTTAGCCACTGGACCATCAGGGAAGTCCCCCAACTCAGCCTTATTCCTGCTCCTTCCCTCTCTGATCACCTCACCATTCTCTGAGGAGGTTGTGGTTTTTGTACTTATTTTTCCAACAACTTGGAATACTCTTCACCCTCATCTTCATATATATCATCTATATGTGATATGTTTCTACTCATCCTTCAAGACTTATATGCCCTAGAGCAGGGGTCCCCAACCCCTGGGCCGCACAGCAGGAGGTGAGCAGTGGGCGAGCAAGTGAAGCTTCATCTGCCGCTCCCCATCGCTGTCGTTAACGTGTGAACCATTGCTCGCATACACTGCCTTGAACTATCCCCCCCATCACGCACATTACCTCCTGAACCATCATCGTCCACACCACCCTCCCCCCATGGAAAAATTGTCTTCCATGAAACCGGTCCCTGGTGTCAAAAAGGTTGGGGCCGCCGCTCTAGAGGATCTAGAGGATCTCCCTTTCTAAACCCTCTTTAGATTTCCTGTGTGTTTTCTTTACATTTGTTTCCAGAGTATAACTTGCTGTATTGTGGGTTTTTTTTAATGTGCTTTTGTTCACCTTATTCCATGCTAGGATTGAGGCAAATATTCGTTCTTTCATGTTTATTAATCGATATCCACTACAGGATTGTGCGGGTGCATGGTATAATAAAAGGCAAATGAGTTTGGAGCTATACAGACCCAAATTCAGATCCTAGCTGAGCAACTTTGGCTGAATTACTTAACCCCACCTCCACTAACACCACCAAAGTAACATGACACTTCACAGTCTTGCAGAGCTATAATATTTCCTCATTTCATTCTTACTTGTAAATTACCTAACATAACATACGGTAGGTGATCATTACATGTTCCTGTTCATACTATCATTTTTTTTTTTCTTTTTTTTGGCTGTGTCGGGTCTTAGTTGCAGCACTTGGGATCTTCGTCGTGGCATGTGGGATCTTTTGTTGCAGTGCGCGGGCTTCTCTCTAGTTGAGGGACACGGGCCTAGTTATTCTGCAGCTTGTGGGATCTTACTTCCCTGACCAGGGATTGAACCCATGTCCACTGCATTAGAAGGCAGATTCTTAACCAAAAGTCCCTGCACTTTTATTCTTGAGGTCAGCAGCTTTGCCACATCTTATTTATCTGTGTAGTTCTTCATTTCTTTTTGAGGGACTTCCCTGGTGGTGCAGTGGTTAAGAATCCACCTGCCAATGCAGGGGACACGGGTTCGAGCCCTGGTCCAGGAAGATGCCACATGCCGCAGAGCAACTAAGCCTGTGCACCACAACTACTGAGCCTGCACTCTAGAGCCCGTGAGCCACAACTACTGAAGCCCGTGCACCCTAGAGCCCATGTGCTGCAACCACTGAGCCCACACGCTGCAACTGCCGGGCCCGCATGCTGCAACTACTGAAGCCTGCGTGACTAGAGCCAGTGCTCTGCAATAAGAGAAGCCACCGCAATGAGAAGCCTGCACGCTGCAACGAAGGGTAGTCCCTGCCCGCCACAACTAGAGAAAGTCCGCGCACAGCAACGAAGACCCAACGCAGCCAAAAATAAATAAGTTTTTTAAAAAAATTCTTTTTGAAATGAGGCAGGATATAAATAAATAATCATCTTTCTGCGTGGCACAGTGCCTGGGATGGCACACAGTAGGCTCTCAATTTTGTTGAACGAATGATGTCAGTACTTATTCCATGGCAACCTTAAGCACCAAATAAAACAAAACTTCATATTTTTCTTTATTGAATTACCAATTTATACTGTGGATTATTTTTCTTAGCGATCCATAGGGAGTCCAAAAGGAATCCCTGGAAGAACTCTTTCCTCTCTCAGACATTTGTGTAATCCTATTCTAAACTGTTGTGATTATCCTAGAGAAACCACACCAATTTATCTTGGATACTTCCTACTGTCCAGTCGTCCCTTGATTTTTTTTGTGGGGGTGGATTCAAAATTCATCACGTCATTTAGAGATGACACTGTGATGAAAAGGATATATATTAAGAATACATATTTAAATTTGATCTAGAACAAGTAAAAAATCTCTACTCCACAAACTAACCCGAGTTTATTTCCAAACCTAAAAGAATGGCCCTCTTACAGCTGATTCATAAAAAGATTACTTGTGTTTAAAAGTATGTGACTATCCATCTCACTAAATGACACACAGGAGTGTTACAGGGTTAAGGGATTCTGGCTTTGGTCTTTTCTTTTTCTTTCCCACCCACTAGACTAAGTCTGTTCAGAGTAACACATAGAGAGACTGAACAGTTTGGCTAAAGACATCAAATAGCTAAAAAGACTTTTAAGTAAGGAGCTTGTTAAGATATTTAACTGTGAGTGTCACCTAAAAATATCCTCTATAGAATTGGAGGGAAAGGCTCTCTCCATCATTTGAAGTGTTGGCCTTTCTGAAGAGCAATTTGGACATACATAGCAAAAGTCTTAGAAACATGAATATTCTTTGATCCAACAATTCTAATTCTGGAAATTTACCTTAAGAAACTAATTCAGTATGCATACAGAATTTTAGTCTCAAGTCTGTTTATCACAGTGTTGTTTGTAGTAGTGAAAATTTAGAAGCAAGCTGTATGTCCAAGTATGGGGGTACTGATTGGATAAAATAATTGTCATATGTTGGAATACTACACAGCCATTAAAAGTAATGTCAAATTTTAAATTTTATTTATTTATTTAATTTTTGGCTGTGTTGGGTCTTCATTGCTGTGTGTGGGCTTTCTCTAGTTGTGGCAAGCGGGTGCTATTCTTTGTTGCGGCATGCGGGCTTCTCATTGCAGTGGCTTCTCTTGTTGCAGAGCCTGGGCTCTAGGTGCGTGGGCTTCAGTAGTTGTGGCTCGCAGACTCTAGAGCGCAGGTGCAGTAGTTTTGGCTCACGGGCTTAGTTGCTCTGCGGCATGTGGGAGCTTCCCGGACCAGGGCTCGAATCTCTGTCCCCTGCATTGGCAGCTGGATTCTTAACCACTGCGCCACCAGTAAGTCCCCTAGAATTTTTAATTATAAGGAAAATTCCATGTTGTATTTATTGATAAAAACTGATAGGGGCTTAGACCGTGTGCAGCAACAAAGACCCAATGCAGCCAAAAAATAAATAAATGAATAAATAAATTTTTTTAAGTGATAAAAATATTATTTATAGTATGATCTCACTTTTATTTAGAAAAATCACTGATTGGGAAAAAAAAGAAAGAAAAATCACTGATTGGATTATAAATTGATGTCTCTTCTTTTTGCTTATTTATACTTTCTAATTTTTTTTTTTTTTTTTTTTGCGATACGTGGGCCTCTCACTGTTGTGGCCTCTCCCGTTGCGGAGCACAGGCTCCGGACGCACAGGCTCAGCGGCCATGGCTTATGGGACCAGCCGCTCCGCGGCATGTGGGATCCTCCCGGACCGGGGCACGAACCCGCGTCCCCTGCATCGGCAGGCGGACTCTCAACCCCTGCGCCACCGGGGAAGCCCTAATATTTTTATAGTGACTGTATATTGCTTTATAATAAGGAGAAAGAAGATTTTAAAAACCCTGAAATATCTTTGAATTGTTCCATCTACAGGGAGATTCCATGGAGCTAGAAATCTGGTGTCTGGAAATGAATGAAAAGTAAGTGGTCTGTCTTAGGGTCCTTCATTGTGGTAGCTGAGGATAAAGTGCACAACATCATGTGAAAAGCAGGGCTTTGTACCAGTCATGGAGAGGGTTCTGACCACTTAACAGAGCCAATAGGTCTTTGCTACAGTTTGCTTCATGCTTGGCTTCCAGCCCAGGCACAGAGATGACCTTCAGAGGGAGTGTCAGTCCAGAGAGACTCAGACACCACTGGGAGAGGAGCAGAGAGAAAGCTGAAAAAGGATTTGTTGTTTTCCCAGAGTACAGATAGTTCTCTGATTAAATCCCTTGAGCTCTTGTAACATGACTACTCTGTTTTGTCTGTTTTCTGTGTGGCAGACATCCAATAAGATTTCCCCTCACTACTCCTTTAGACATGCTGTGTTGGTCACGGATTGGAAATGCATGTTATTTTCCCCCTCCATTTTCTTCTTTCAGGGCATATTAGCTTACTTCCTGCCCAAAGCTTTAGTTTCCAAGAAGAATATATAGGAAAATTGAGGAAATAGCAACACATCAGAGGAAAAATCTTATTAATAAGTATGAGTGGTATGGGCATTATTTTTCTTTCTTAAATAGAAAGGAACTGCCAGGTTATAGTCCAAAATTTTAGTACCAAACACTTCTCCAGAGTTCCTCTTAGATGTATAGAGGTAAACTACTCGTAAGATAGTACATTGAAATTGTTTGCACCTTTAGTAATACAATTGCAATATTGAATTACTGTTTTTAAGGGTGTTGCTTTATTTCTTAGAAAGATAACTGCTTCAAAGCTAGAAAAAAAATATATTGGATACCTTTTGGTGCCCACCTGCCTTTGTCTAGTGCATGAGAAAGTGAAACTTTGGCTAGCTTTAACAATCTGTTGATAAGCTGACAAAGAACTCTAACTACAACGTTAGTTCAGAACATGTTTTTTTTTGTTTTTTGCGGTATGTGGGCCTCTCACTGTTGTGGCCTCTCCCGCTGCGGAGCACAGGCTCCGGACACGCAGGCTCAGCAGCCATGGCTCACGGGCCCAGCCGCTCTGCAGCATGTGTGATCCTCCCGGACCGGGGCACGAACCCGTGTCCCCTGCATCGGCAGGCGGACTCTCAACCACTGCGCCACCAGGGAAGCCCCAGAACATGTTTTAATAATAAATTTAATCTTATACAGTTCCAGCACTTAATTTGTGACTATCTCTGTTGACTGTAACACTCTGTGAAAGGTTATTTAGACTGCAAATCAGATTATATTCTATCAGAATTTATGAATAATGCTAACAGATTTTTTTTAGATTTTTTAAATTGAAGTATAGTTGATATTCAATGTTGTATTAGTTTCTAGTGTACAACAAAGTGATTCAATTTTATATATATATATATTCTAATGCTAACAAATTAATCTCAGTAGCTAGATGGAACATAACTAACATCTCTATTCATTGCATTTCTGTTCTTTGTTTTTCATTAGTGGAGTAGGAGAATGCTGATAGTGTCTTTGCTCCTCAGGTGTGATAAAGAAATCAAAGTTTCCTATGCCGTGTACAACAGACTGTCATTGCTACTGAAGTCTCTCCTTGCTATAACTAGGGTGACACCAGCTTACAGACTGTCCAGGAAACAAGGGCATGAATATGTCATATTGTATAGGTAAGCAGTCACCTTCATGATTCACTCATCAGCCTCATCATTTTGCACATTGTCTAACCAGCATTCAGGTATTCCATGATTAGTTTTTAGACAGACGTTTGGATAGTTGATGCTGTAACTTTACTATGATTGTCTATCTATTCTCCCTTCTGAACCTCAGCTATTTGCAAAGCAACCAAGTTTGTTATTCTTTTTTTTTTTTTTTTTTTTTTTTTTTTTTGCAGTACGCGGGCCTCTCACTGTTGTGGTCTCTCGCGTTGCAGAGCACAGGCTGCGGACACGCAGGCTCAGCGGCCATGGCCCACGGGCCCACGGGCCCAGCCGCTCTGCGGCATGTGGGATCTTCCCAGACCGGGGCACAAACCCGTGTCCCCCGCATCGGCAGGCGGACTCTCAATCACTGCACCACCAGGGAAGCCCCTTGTTATTCTTTTGTTTGTGCACAGTCATGGCTCCTGTAGAATGGATTTTGAAGTCCTACTGATATATATCTCATTTCTGGAAAAGGAAGTTAAGACTTTGAAAAACAGGCTATCCTGGGAAGACTTCAGAATGTTCTATGTTCCAGAGTTAGATTAAAACTTTTTGTGTAACAAACTGCTAATTCAGTGTGTTTTTAATTAGTTGTCTGTGGATATAAAGAACTGGTTAACAGTTCTTTGAGTATTTTCCTTGTAGTATTTCACATCAACATATATTTGAGTGCTTTTTTGAGGCAAGCATTGTGGTAGGCCCAAGGAAGAACTATACAGAGGCCCAGCCATACTGGTGTTTCTAATCTAATGGGGGAAATAGTTTGGTACATGCATAGTCACAGTAAAAAGCAGGATTTGCATAGCAGTGTCAGGAAAAAAAGTGCTGTGAAAACACAGGAAGAAAGAGTTTGTTCTGGGTGGGAGAATCAAGACAGGCTTCATGGAGGAAGTAGCATTCCAGCTAGACCTTGAGGCAGTGAAAATTTCATCTGTTGGAAGTGAGGGAGCATGATCATTCCAGGTGGGGTGTACCGCAGATGGCAAGGAACAGAAATGGGGGGCAGAACTGAGCTGTACTCAGATTGTCGAATGGCCCAGAGCGGTGGTGAGGAGGATGTGTAGCAAAGTGTGAGAGCAGAGCATGGAAAGTCAAGGGTTCCTAAATCATCCAAGACTCTGTGTCATATTAGTGATGAGCCATGGGTTTTAGCCTTTGGCTTACATGTATAGAGCTGATCTTTATTTTATTTATTTTAATTAAGTTATTTATTTATTTATTTATTTTTGCCTGCCTTGGGTCTTTGTTGCTGCGCATGGGCTTTCTCTAGTTGCAGCGAGCAGGGGCTACCCTTTGTTGCGGTGCACGGGCTTCTCATTGTGGTGGCTTCTCTTGTTGTGGAGCACGGACTCTAGGCGTGCGGGCTTCAGTAGTTGTGGCACACAGGCTCAGTAGTTGTGGCTCACGGGCTCTAGAGTGCAGGCTCAGTAGTTGTGGCATATGGGCTTAGTTGCTCTGTGGCATGTGGCATCTTCCCGGACCAGGGCTTGAACCCGTGTCCCCTGCATTGGCAGGTGGATTCCTTACCACTGCGCCACCAGGGAAGTCTCTAGAGCTGATCTTTAGAAGAATTAGTATAACAGGATGGAAGGACCAAGGATTAGAGACTTAACTAGTTCTGTTGAAATAATCCAGCAACCCTACCTATATTTGTTTTTCCAAGTCTTTAATACATTTTTGTTGTCTTCCCAGATTTCAGGATGAGTATTCCATTTGAAAATTATTAGACTTTTATTTAGATATAATAGATTCCTTTCTAACTCTTATTTCCCATTTACCTATGCTAAGTTTCCTTCACTTTGGTTCTTCTGTAAGTAGCCATGTTACACTACTGGTCATCAGCTTAGTTAACTAGGACTCCTGGTCCTTTTCATACCTGTGTTTCAAGTCTTCATTGTATCTCTGGAATAATACAGTATTTATTGCTCACTGATTGCTTATCATTTAGGATTGCTTTTTTGGATACAAATAGCTGTAGCTTAAACCATAGAGAAGTATGTTATGTCAGAGGTAGATTTAGCTCTTTTTTTCCTTTTTGTACTATTGGTAACAGGTTAACAGTATAGCCTTAGACCATTAAACAATAGTCTTGTCTTGGTTTTTTGTTTGTTTGTTTGTTTTGCTGTACTATCATTTTTCCCCTGATCCTGTAGATCTGACAATTTCACTGTAAAACTACATTGTTATAAAAAAACATTCTGAATTTGTTGTTCATCAAGACTGCATTAAAGTTTTATTGTGTACTATCTGTGAAGAAAACTTTTGCTTAGCACCTGAGTGGCATAAAGAATATAACCAAGAAAAAGTGGAATATAATCAGATTATTTAAAGCACTGTACCAATATTCAGATGAGTAGCGAGCTGATGGTCAGCTTTTTGTCAAGAGGGTACCTAGCAAAATCTCCTTTGGCGACAGTTTATTAACATCATTCGTGTATTAGTTTATGGCAGGAGTCAGCAAACTATGGTCAGCAGACCATTTGCTTGTTTTTATTTTTATTTTTTAATATATTTTTAAAAATTTATGTATTTTCTTTTTTGGCTGTATCAGGTCTTAGTTGTGGCACATGGGATCTTCGTTGAGGCATGCAGGATCTTTCATTGTGATGTGCGGGCTCTTTGTTGCGGCATGTGGGGTTCTCTCTAGTTGTGGCATGCAGGTTTTCTCTCTCTAGTTGTGGCGCACAGGCTCCAGAGTGCGTGGGCTCTGTAGTTTGGGGCACACAGGCTGTCTAGTTGAGGCACGTGAGCTTAGAAGTTGTGGCGCACGGGCTTAGTTGCCCCGCAGCATGTGGGATCTTAGTTCCCCAACCAGGTATCGAACCCGCATCCCCTGCATTGGAAGGCAGATTCTTTACCACTGGACCACCAGGGAAGTCCCTTGTTTTTATAAATAAGATTGTCTTACAACATAGCCACTCCATTCGTTTACCTATTATCAATGGTTACTTTTGCAGTATAACAGCAAAGCTGAGTAGTTGCTGCAGACTATGTGGCCCACAAGCATAAAATCTTTACTAACTGATCCTTTTTTTTTCTTTTAATCAACTAATTAATTTTTGGCTGTGTTGGGTCTTCATTGCTGTGCACCAGCTTTCTCTAGTTGTGGTGAGCAGGGGGCTATTCTTCGTTGCAGTGTGCGGGCTTAGTTGCTCTGCAGCATGTGGGATCTTCCCAATCAGGGCTCAGAGCCATGTCCCCTGCATTGGCAGGCGGATTCTTAACCACTGTGCCACTAGGGGAGTACCTATTCTCCTAATTTCTTAACCAGTTCTCTCCATCTACATGCCCGTGTCTACAGGTTAATCAAGTGGTAGCAATATTGCACCTTTAGGAGAGATGTTCATGCAGATAAGAAAAGAAGGGTTGGTTTTGTTTATTTTGTTTCTCAGCGTTTGGTATGTAGGCCCTTAGAATAAAGAATCAGGTAACATTTTTTTTCTTGCTTCTCTACAGAATATATTTTGGGGAAGTTCAGCTGAATGGCTTAGGAGAAGGTATGTATCAAGGTTGAAAAACATTTGTAGTATTGTTAAGAGCTCTCCTGACTTCAGAGATATGCTTGGATGCTGTCTGTAATAATACATAGCTTGTGATTTTAGTATGAGTGATACAAGTAAGGAAAAGACAGGTAGGTGGTCCAAAGAACCACCAGGGAATGACTGAATAATTTTCCCAAAAGTTCCAGTAACTCAGTATTCTTTCTTACTCTTTATACCAGCGGTCCCCAACCTTTTGGCACCAGGGACCGGTTTTGTGGAAGACAATTTTTCCACGGAAGTGGGGGTGATACTAGTGATGGGGAGTGGCAGATGAAGCTTCAGTCACTTGCCCGCCACTCACCTCCTGCTCTGTGGCCCGGTCTCCCAGGGGTTGGGGACCCCTGCTTTATAGGACTGTTTTCCTAATTTTCCACAATGAGCATGTTAAATGTCTCTGATGAGCATCAGCAATTTTGAAAAATTGAAAATGAAACGAAGAAAACCAGGAAAACTTTGTTGTAACACTCTGACTCTTCTCTATATTTAGTTCTGGGGTGGCAACTTGGGTGGGAGTACATTTACTTTATAAATTGAGGTGTTTGTGTGAGAAACTCGCTGTGCCCCTTTGCTGTCTTAGTAGCACATCTGGACAGGGCTGGTTAGGACTTGTTCAAGATTTAGGACTAATCATCATTTTACCTCTTTGAAGGTAGTTTTATCTGGAAATAGAATGCTGTTTCCCCTGGCAATATTAGGTCAATATAGAATAAATTGAAAAAATATATATATATATATACACACATACACGTATGTATGAAATTGAGGCTGCTGCACTCAGGGTGCTAAGTGGGTAATGCCAGAGATTGTACAACAGGCTAAGTGGTTCAGGGAAAGACAGACTGCGGGTACTGTAAGTATTCTCTGGAAAAACCTAATTATTTATCTCTTTTCCTAGGTTTCCAGACAGTTCGTGTTGGGACAGTGGGTACCCCTGTGGGCACCATCACTCTTTCTTGTGCTTACAGAATTAACTTGGCATTCATGTCCACCAGGTGAGGAAAGAGCTTTGGAATCCAATAGAACTCTTCTAAAGATATAAAAGTTGTTTTCCTCCAAACCTTGTGGCTAAGCCTACAATTCAGCTTCTCCATTGCTGAATTGAGAGAACACTTCTTCCAGATTGGAGAATCTGAGTGTCCTAGAGCCAATGTAGAATTTGTGGTTTATATTTAGGGATGTAGTAGTTAAGGCTCTATGGTTCCTGCCAATAGATAAGAGGCGAGGGGCTCTCTGAGGACTTCAGGGGGACTTGACAAGGCATTCTAACAAATACAGCAATCTGCTTACTGCATTACAGGCACTTTGAGAGGACCCCACCTATCATGGGGATTATTATTGATCACTTTGTGGACCGTCCCTATCCCAGTTCCTCGCCCATGCATCCCTGCAATTACAGGTGAGGAATGTGAAAAACACTTTCCCAAACTGCAGCTAGGCAGAAGCATCCATCTTGCACAGGTCCATAGAGCACCTTTATCAGCACTCACTGATAGGCAGGGGGCACTGATGGAGACGCCATGTGGAGAGAAGTGGAGTGGCCAGCTTTCATTCTTGCTGCTGCCTATAAGGTATACTAAGACTTAGGGTGTACCAAGTCTCAGAAAATTCTTGGATATTTTGGATCTTGACAGTAGTGATTTGACTTTTGATTTGATTTTACTTCGAGATTGTGAGAGTGGCAGTAATTTGTAGAATGTCCTTTGCAAATTAAATGGTTTTCAGGTCACCATTGGCTGGCACAATGCAGTTTCATACATCAGAATCAAATATCTCCAGACCTAGATCCCAGATAACAGAATTTTCTAGAGATTGGAATAGATTTGTATCAGGAGAGATACTGCCTTTCTGTAAAGAACTCATGAAGTTGGATAGGTTTTGTCTTTGGAGTCTAGACTTTTGTTTCACTGCATTCTCTATTGCTGATAATTCTTGTTCACAACACCGGCCAGGCTTAAGAAAATCCTCTCAAATGATATGTCAGGTAAAATGTTTGGATTAAAAAAAAAGCCATTGTCAACCTCTAGATGCTGCTTTCTGGAAATGTTTGAAATTATCAAGGATTCAACATACCTCTCTTGCCATTAGGAACTCTGCCTGAAACAGTTCATGTCACAACTTGCATCCGTATCTAACCTCTCTTTGTATCCTTTCTGAAATTGACTGCCATCAGTCAGTTCATGATTTCTTTTCCACTCACCATAGAACCGCTGGTGAGGACACTGGAGTAACATATCCTTCTGTGGAAGATTCTCAAGAAGTGTGTACCACCTCTTTTTCCACCTCCCCTCCATCCCAGGTAGGGGGAAACAGGATCTGGGGTGGCAGTAGTTATTTGGTACATATATGGGCCTTATGAAATGGTGTCAAAATTTAGATACAATCTCTTGGTGGTGATGGTGATTATTTCAAGGAGGTTATTCTGAGGGGTGAGGGAGAGCCTTCTTATCCAGCCAGTAATATTGCAGTGTTTCTAGTCTGTAATCATTCTTAACCTGCAAGATTACATGTAACCTTTACCTTCCTGGGACATCTGAAAATTCCCTAGAAAATCAGTCACAGAAAATCAGAAGTGTGTTCTGGCACCAGAGAGGTGCTCTAACCTCCACTTGTTAATTTGGCAGCTACTTCTTTTTTGAAGTGGTAAATACAGTTCCTCATAATGGAAGGAGCACAAAAGGAGCCAAAGATGATTTAGCATAAAATGCCAGTAAGACACCAGCTGTGCAGTTTTTCTTAATAGTTACACGGATATCTGCCTATCTGCATTCCCTCTCTGAACATTTTTAACCATTCACTTTTCCACTCGAGTCCCTCTTCAGTGTCAAATCCAGTTTCAATAAAGCAATGTGTCTCCAAACAATGTGAGAACTTCTCACAAAGAAGTGTTGTATGATGTGTGTGGTACTGAGACTGCTTCAGATAAGGAATCATTTTTGCCAGCTGCCTGAATTTCAGGGGCACATTTCTTCCCTTCCACCCCAAGTCTTCATCTTCTACCCATTGCCTGCCCACCATCTCTATTATTTCCCTCCTCTTTGCTTTCATATTAGATGGTTCTAGACATCAGTCAGTTCTACTTTCCTTGAAACTAGCCCCAGATTATCCCTTTTCACCATCTGACTTGGGGGACCCAACAGATTAAGTAGCTGTCCGTACACTTTTATTTTCTATGTTTTCTTAATTAAGAAAAAGTTTTAATTTATTATATCCTGGGTTGTTAGATACTGGATTAAAATTATAGTTCTAATTTGTTTTAAAAGCAGAAGTTAAGTACAAAAGCTAACTGGTGTGTGAAGCACTTTACAAAATCCATGGATCACTATTATTTCTATTGTCCCAGTTTAAAGAGATTCTTGTTGTAAAGTTACCTAGACAGTTTGGTTTGGGGGTGTGGAAATTTTTTCCCTCCACCTATTAGTATATGTAGGCATGGATGTCGCCATTGCTCTGGGAGGGGGTAACTTCTGGTACGCTTGCTGACATGGAACAATCCTGACCAAAAAAGTGGGGGGAGAGCCCACTTTCTTACTAGTGCACATTAGTGAGTAGATTGTTTTTTAAGATCATCAGAATGTGAATATGTCATTTAATGTTCATTAACAGTTTTGTTTTACACGTGATAAATTCATAAACATTATATAAACTTGGGAGATATGAGGCATGGTGAGTCTGGGCCTTAACAAATCAGTTTGTCTTTTTCTCTGATACAGTGGAAATTCGACCTGACCCCAAAAGTAAAGGGTAGTTAAGTAGTTTCTGTACCTGATGTTTGCAGAAAAGTTTGTTAACCTGTGTAAGGAGAGTCTATATTTTTCATGGTATCAGTTGTGTCTTCTTACAGTTTAAAAGTAGATCACGTCAAGATCTCATCAATACTGAGCACCCCATGGGTGAGCCTTGTCACTTCTCCCTGAGTACCTGTAATCAAGACTGGTACAGTTTGGTGCAGAAATACTGATTTAGAACCTTGATGGTAGAACAGAGAGAGGAAAATCATATGCCATCTGGTCTCCTTGTTCCTGTAAATATTGAAATAGTTTCTTCCTTGGTTTAACCTAGGGAATTGCATAATTGTTCAACAACTTCTATTTGAGCTTTTGCTAGAATCCAGTAAATACATGTTAATGAGCTGGGTTCCCCCCCTCCCAACAAAATAAGGATCATTGTGTCATTTGGGCGCAGAGTTGAGTCAAGAAATAGTTGTCACCCTGAACCTGCTACTGTGACTTAAGGTCCTACCTCCATTTCTAGGCATTAATTAGCTAATTGGTGAGACTTAAAGATGGAACAGTAAGACCCAAAACAATCATCATACCCATAATTAGCTTTGAAATCATGAGTTTTGAAAATGCCCCAGCTTTTACTCCACCGTCAGGGACTGTAAGAGCGTGCACACACACACCGTGATGCCTACACCTGCACACCCCCACTCATCTTCCCTGAGATTATGTAGGAAAGTTTGCAGCTGGGTATCTGAGCATTTTAAAGTTCCAGCCAACAAACGTCAGCTGTTTAAACCTGAGCCTGCAGGTCCTGAGTCCCCAGAAAAAGGCTTTCAGTCTAACGTCTTAACCT